AAATGGAAAGGTGAAACTTGGCACACGTATAAGTGACATGATATTATGGAGTCGAGGGAGTATTCAACTTTCATGGTGCATCATCTCTGGGTATAGCTTTTTGGTGGGTCGGCTTTTCAAAGCATGTTTTTTTCACCAGTGAAAAGGGAAAACGAATATGGTTGAAATTGTGTGGGTATGTAGTTCTCTGAGGATTGATTTCTTTAAAAACAAAGATATTTGTCGGCTAAAACGTTTCAGGGCACATATATTGCAAATTTTCTGATACAGCAAAACGGAGGGCGCTAGAAAGTTTAAACATGGCAAAGAAGAACCTGATGGATAGCTGCGTAAATTAAAAATTCTACTTTTATTATACTGTATATATTGTGAGTAGCTAACCGACTAACATGAGTAGCTATTCGCATGCTTAGTTCAGGAGAAATTCTACTTTGGTGATACTTGCCGTTGGGGCAATTTTTTTAGGTGAACATATTTTCAAATAGTTCTCTTTGCTTCAGTGAAACGAAGACACATGGAAAGCAGAAACTTGGCAAGAACGTGACTGCTGACGCACTAAGCTCAGGAAAATGTCAAATTTCCGAAATATTGGAATTTTTAGGACATATTTATTAGGGACTTTACCTTTTCCCACAATTTCTCATATCTGAGCGAATCGGGCAGAAATAGAAAGTACCACCTGGCACCCGCATAGCGGACGTAATGTTGATTTAAGGAAAAATTCAACTTTTGTTGTGCGTCTCCTCAGAGCACAGCTTTTGGGTGGGTCGTTTTTCCAAATAAATTTTATCATCGCCAGCAAAAAGGGGAAACGTATGAGGTTAAAACTGGATGGCATGGAGTTCCCTGAGTCTACATTTCAAAAGAAAAAAAATTTCGTTAAAACCCATCAGTGCACTTTTTTTAAGTCCCATTTTCCTGAATTTTTTTAGTGAACCACTGAAACAGAGACAGAAAATTTAAAATCCCTCAGAAGTACCTATTTGATGGCTAGGTACTTCTGAGATAGGCTTTTGAAATATGTCTCCTTAGCATAGATTATAGGAGGGAAGTAATTCGAAATGTATTCTCCAACCTCACAAAAAGGGACACGTGAAAAGATTTCAAGTTAGACCCACTAGAAATCATAGAAGAAATGGTTTTTGTTAAAAATAAAGACTTTCGTCCCCATATATCACGTATATCAATGTGGACGTACTTTAAATACGTGTTTCCTATTTCGCAAAGAAATGAATTAATTAAATTAATTAATCACAATCCAAGGTAATGGAGCGCCGAAGGCGCGACTATAACGAGTTTGTTTGCCCGAAGGACAAACAAACTTGCTAGTAGTATAGGTTGAACTCGTGTTTTCCCTGTCTCGTTGCCATGTAGTTTCAAGTTAAAAATAGATTTCTCGGAACGTCGAGCTATGAAGTGAGTCACATCCGCATGCGCATATTCACATCCGGTAATGCATCGGATGTAAACTTTGTGCTGTTAAGGCAACGATTCAGTCCTTCGTTTACAGCCTCGCCTCGTCCCCTCCCCGTGAAATACCATGGAAAACAGGATTTTTCTCTTCTTTTCCCTCATTTTCTTCGTTCCCTGGACGTCGGCGCACGTCCCATGCCCCGATCCCGGGTACATATCCCCTTGCACCTGCTCCTATGAAGGTTATGAGGAAATCACCATTGATTGTTCTTTGGCGACGATTCACGAAATTTTCTTCGCCTTCAACAGCTTCACTTGGTCTTCGACGATCTGGTGCGTGAGGGTGTTTTTCTATTTTGGGATTATTTCCTTAGAGAGACAGATCTGGTTTTCTTCGTCATCATTCTTCCCAATTAGTTTTGTTACTTTCATGAAAGGAAGACAGAACACAGAGAAAATATTCCTGTAAACGTATTCAAGCGCGAGCATTTCAATTATTCCCCTGTTTCTGCAAATTCACTCATATTCTCACTCGCTGAGAATTTCATGTAGACTGTTTATGGCTGAAATTGGAGTCCTCTTTTTGCACAAAGTGCTAGGCATGAAACGCTTTGAGTCTATATTTCATTCTTTAGTTTTCCTCATTCCTTCCAGGAGAGTCATCATAATGAATAACATCGAAATAACGGAGCTCCCGCAAGGGATCTTCGGAAACGTCTCTATCGTGGCCGTGGGCGTCCAACTATCCCCAAACTTCACCGCCATTCATCCGTCGGTCCTGCTTTCCATGAAAGAGACAATTATGGCCTTTTGGAGCGATCGGTGCAGCCTCGAAGACTTTCCCTGGGATATTCTGCCTCAGTTGGTCGCTTTCACGAATCTCCATCTCCCCGGCAACGCTCTGACGACCGTGCCTGTCTTGCAAAGCGAAACGCTCGATGACCTCGACCTTGCGGATAATAATATATCATTCATTGAGGGCGGTTGGTTCCTGCCAAATCTGAGGTGGTTGAGCATGGGTGAGTCCACCCACACTCAATTCGCGTCATTGTTCAGAGTCGCCTTCTTCACGATATAATTGTTAACCCATTTTCATTTTCAGGGTATTAAATGCCTTCAAATATGTTCAAAACAATTCGTTTGCATAAAGTTTCAGAATGAAACGTTGCAGCCAGGTGCATAATATGACTTTGCTGGATTTTAATGCTTTTCTAGCGATGTCATTGAAAAAATCGTCTAATAAAATCATAACATATATTAAATGAATTTTAAATATGGGATATTCCTTGAAAAGTGAAACATGAAACGTGTCCCTCACGTGTCTCTTTTATTTCCTTGCAGATGGGAATCCTTTGTCAGAATTTCCCCCCGAGTTTTTCACTGGCTTGGAAATCTTGAATTATTTTTCCTGTCAAGGTTGCAGTCTCGGACCGACTCTTCATTCTGGGTCACTTAAATTTAATTCCCGTGCTTTTTTTGTCTTGTTGCTCAACTACAACAATATCACGTCAATGGAAAATTATTCCATCTCAGGTATGTTGACATCGAGAAAACGGCAATCTCTTAACTTGGAATATGGTGTTAAAGTGCAACTTTGGGGCAAATGAATTCCCATAGTACCTTGGATTTACTGTCCTGCTGAAGTTAAGCCCCAATAGAACGCTTGAGTTGGCCAAACTTCCTTATTTTTATAATTTTCTTCTTCATAACCTTTTAGGAAGCAAATAGGAATTGCCATTTGGTCTCTCCGTTGACGTAATGGGCAGATGTCGATTTTGAATGAGAAATAAATTATTTATCTTTTTCTTTATATTCGCCCTTGATGGCAAATACCTGGGATTTGTGATTTTCACTTTGTTTCCACATGCGACAATTTTGCCCGCAGACGTCAAACATATTTTTTTTTATTCGCTTTTCTCGCAATTTTATCTGATCAATCAGTGAATTCACATCAACCCGAACTTTTCAAAGTGTTTCTAAAAAACTTATATTGCATAAATCCATTTGGTTTCTGAGGTACGTTGTTGACGAAAATGGTACATATTGCAGTGGAACGTCCTCACAGCATGCACTCATATTTATTCCAGGTGTCACGGCTGGCACACAAGTTTATCTATCATATAATTTGATCACTGCACTGACGGAGGAAGCATTTCGTTCGATGGCGGAAGCTGTCTCATTGGGAAACGGAATCCTCTTGGTACATGGTGAGTACTGGGGTTCCTCATAACGATTGATAATGGGGTGGGATCTGTACCATATGGTGATATGGAAAGGCAGCTGTAGTTCAATGATGGTTATGTAATTCTAGGTTTTTTCCCTACGGCATGTTTTCCATACACGATTTCGTATGTTTGACATTCAGGAGGGAGACGATCGTTGAGTGAATTCAGGTTAAATCACTGTGCAAGCTTGCTGAATACGTAACGTAGCACTACTAAGCATACGCCTAAGCATAAACAAGGTTTAGATAGGCGTTTGATCCGGTTGTAACATGGGATAAGAGGAAGTTGACGAAGCATGCGTGTGAAGACATGTACTTTTGGTGCTGACATGCAAGGACACTTTCAGAATAAATATGACTAAATAATAAGTCATCTTTCTTCTTGTTTGGTTAAGGGAGGGTCCAATACCTTGTTTTGTGGCAAATTACCGACCTCCCTCCCTCAACTCATGAGGCATTTTCAAGGCTGATTGGCACGACTTTCATTGCCCTTAGCGTTTTATGCTTTGAAATAAAACGAATTACTCGGTTCCTGGTCTCGTGCGTTCCAGCGGCAGCAGAAGGGTAAAATGTTTCTCATTATTTAAAGAATATATCGCGATATGGAGACATACCAAGTATGGAGCGACATCGTGATACATCCATCATCGATAAAGCCCTGCCTAAATTATTTTTTTACATCAGGCAACGGTAGATGTAGGTGTAGTTGCAACGAGGCATCAGTAGGATTTCCTTGAGCATGGGATGATCAAGTCAGCGATCGCCTCATCGCTGAATCGAAAGGTAAAATCCTAACATCGCAGAAAATCAAATCACGATTCTCTTCCTCAGACCACAACTGCATGGTAATCCCAGAGCTCATGCTAAGGTAGCAAGTATCAATAGACTCAAAGACAGAAACCCAATCGATATCTTAATTTAAGTATGAAACGCAAAAAATGATACAGGAGGTAATTATTCTCATGGGTACTATTGCGGATGTCTCGACTCTCATCACAAGAGCAACTAGAGAGTACCAGCCCAGGTACAGATCTGGCATTCCACTGGCCCCTGTACCACTGGATTTATTATATATTTTCACAGCATCCTATCCATCCAACCTTGAAATAAATAAGAGTTATTCTTGGTGTGGCGTAAGCCTATATGAAATGGCCTAGGGACAGGGTCACAGCTAAGAGTCTTATGGTCATTCATCTACTTTAATAAAGGCGAAGCTTTCATGCTTCTGGGCCAATAAAGGATCGAATATGAACTGGACGGCAGCAATATTGACGCTTTTACAATTACAATTTTTAAAATCGAAACGCCAAGGAATTATTCGTACTGTTAAATGAGGGATAGAGGAGAAGTTTTTTCTAAGACATGACAGAAATATATTTTGAAATTGTGGTCTGTCTGGGAACCGAGCTATTCAGCGTCTATAAATTTCTTCAAGTGTTTTTTTTATACTGATTACTGATTACTTGATTACATTGAGTAATCAAGTTACAACCTAAAGAGACACACAATCCATTTATTATCTTCATTAGAATCGTTGAAAATCGCAAATGAAAATGAACACCGCCTTAAAAGAAGAAGCGAAATTGAACGTCTTTCACGGGGAATGGCTTCCAGTTAGTCTTGTACTCCTGGAGAAAGTGCCAGAAAGACCCGAAGGAATGTGATCATTTATATATATATATAACGAGATGGACATTCACTGACAGAGGGGCTAGCCCTTGAACAGCCACGGCCCAGCACCCACGCGAGTACCCCAACAGGAATCTCGAAACTATTGTGAAAGGCCAGGCAGAAAAAGGGGGTCCAGGCGGAAGAAAGCTATAACGCAAAAGAAAGCGAAGCTCTAGGCTAGATGTTTGACGCTTTTCGACCGGCTTCGTCAGGGGGTGCACGGCCGGCCTAGAGCATCAACAGCTGTTATAACCTGTTTCTGCGGTCAACCTAGCGTGCCAGGAGTATTAGATAGAACTTGGAAGTACTACCCATTCCAAGGACAAACCCAGCTGAAGTCCTTCTGCACATGCCATCGTCTGTTAATGATTAGCTCAAAAAGTCTCGCGACAAAGCTACTGGAACTACGCTATAGGCCAAGCAGCCCACAGACGACGTTCAGCATGTACAGAGATGACGATGCCCAAATTGTCCCTGGTGAGGGAAGCCTTATTCCCACATATGGACATCTATGAA